ACTTAACAGTGTGGATGACAAGTAGCCAAAAGTATGGCAAGCATTCTCCACAGAAATGTTTTTGAGGAAGCTGTTGCTGCAGAGGAACGTTTCTGATGTTGTTCAGAACTTAAAAGTATTTAGTTCTTCAGTGTGCTTTTGTTTCAGTCCAGTCCTAACTGAGTTTTAAGTCATACTAAGTCCTGTTTCCAACCCAGAATATTTGTAAATCTGCAGTGCCATTTCAGTGTGTTTGTGAATTGTCTGCTTAGGTGTGTAATATTAATTCAGTCAAGGTGTCAATTTAATATGTAGGTGCCAAAAATGCATCTCTTTGAAAGAGGCTCCTTATTCTTTTTGCAAAATTAGTAGTAGGAAGGTCATGGATGTTCACAGTTTGTATCAGTAGCCAGCATGTGTTCTGCATTGTATTTCTTGGAGTTACACTTTGCTTTCTTTATGTGATGTCAAACTGTAGACCCCTGGTGCTTTTTCAGTTTTCTGATATATTTGTACTTCACTCTTTCCAGACATGAGTTGTCAAGAATTAGCCATGGAACTCGTTTGGTACCTATTGCAGCTTGTTCTCATGTTTGAAAATACTGTCTCCTTTTTGTGACTGAGGAATTCCTGGAAAATCAAGTGTTATGGTGTTTCTTCAGCTCAATGCACAGTAGGAATATTTTAATAGTGCTGCATGTTTTCGGCTACAAAGTGATTTTTTTTTAATTAAATGAAAAGTTTAATCACTACATGATTTACATAGTTTAAGACTACATGAACCTGTACAGTTTCTCCATCAGCTGACAAGAAAACGTTGTTAAGAAATAACCATATGGTTAAGTTGACTATGCTATGGCTATGGTGAGAGTAAGTCTTACTCCATTTTGAAACTCTAATATGTAAGATACATTTCAGGTAGTAGATATTTTTGCTTGAATTTCCTTTATTGCTAATTTTCTGTTAAGGGGTAATTATTTTTAAGGGTCTGAGCAGTTCTTAACCAATGGACTGATCTCTGATGCTGAATAGTACCAGAGACATCGGGTTAAGGAGAAGTTTTCAATAGGCAAGAACTGCTCCATAGCATCAGGCAAGACTATTCTCCTGTGAGTGAGCCAGTGCATGTGGGTATCACACAATGCCTTTTTTCAATTGCAGCCATAAAACCATCTGGAAAGAGCTTCTTTTGTCATCTGAAAAATGTTTTGGTAGCTCAGTTCTGAGACTGTTAATTGCAACGCAGAGTGCTGCTTTGGAGCATGTAAATCTGCTGAGGATAGCAAAATGGGTGTTCCTCAGAGCCTAATTTCTTTGTTCATTTATACTGAGGACCACTTTGTTGAGGTTTTGGGCTGCAGGCAGATTCTTATTTTATTTTTTATTCAGGCTAGAATATACTTAGGATTCCAAATAGTTCAAAGTAAGTAACTTTTTTCATCACTTTCTGGCAATTCTAGGGATACTAACCAAATCTGCAGACAATACAAAACTGGGAGGAGCTGTTGACTCCCTTGAGGGCAGGGAGGCCCTGCAGAGAGACCTCGACAGATCAGAGGGCTGGGCAATCACCAACCATAGGAAGTTCAACAAGTGCTGGATTCTGAACCTGGCATGGGGCAGCCCTGGCTGTACAGACAGGCTGGGGAGTGAGATTCTAGAAAGCAGCACCATGGAAAGGGACCTGGGGGTTCTGGTCAATGACAAGTTGAACATGAGCCAGCAGTGCCCTGGCAGCCAGGAGGGCCAGCCCTGTCCTTGGGAGCATCAGGCACAGCATTGCCTGCCAGGCAAGGGAGGGGATTGTCCTGCTCTGCTCTGCCCTGGGGCAGTGTCACCCCAAGTGCTGGGGGGCAGTTTTGGACACCACAATATAAGAAAGATGTTAAGCTATTAGAGAGCTTCCAAAAGAACCTACAAAGATGGGGATGGACCTTGAGGAGAAGCTGTACAAGGAGCAGCTGATTTCACTTGGTCTGTTCAGCCTGGAGGAGACTGATGGGGAACTTCACCGCAGTTACAGCTTCCTTGTGAGGGGAAGAGGAGAAGCAGACTCTGATCTCTTCTCTGTGGTGACCAATGACAGGACTCAAGGGAATAACCTGAAGTTGTGTCAGAGGAGGTTTAAACTGGATATCAGGAAAAGGCTATCTTCATTCAGAGGGTGTTTGGGCACTGGCACAGGCTCCCCAAAGAAGTGGTCACAGCACCAAGTCTGACAAAGCTCAAGAATCATTTAGCCAAAGCTCTTGGGCACATGATGTGACTCTTGAGGATGGTGCTGTGCAGGGACAGGAGTTGGACTCTGTGATCCTTGTGGGTCCCTTCTAACTCGGCTGATTCTGTGATTCTTCATTCACCTGAGGAAGGTGAACTGCTGGGATTCATTGCTTCCTGCTGTCTTCAGAAGGCTTGTAGTGTCTACATGTCAACGCTTGTCGCTTCTATTTTGTTATGGTTATTGGAAATTAACTAGTTATCTTAAGAGATGACCTATGTCAGTGCTGGGATGCTCTGACACAGATGTGAAAGCTTTGCAGGCAGTAAAGAGCTCCCTCACTCCACACCTTGCTGCTTCTTCCACTGTCTGCTGAAAACTCCAGCCAAGTGGATGTTGCTTTGGTGAATCTATCACTGTTCCTGATCTAGATACTTCTTTCTGAGCAAAAGATATTTTTATCAAAGAATAACCTCTTCAGTATTTATACCCTCCAAGGCAGGCATTCTAGCAGCTTCCTTTCTCAAGCAAAGGAATTAAAGATGGGGAGAGCTCTGCATGGGAATTAGAAGGAATGAATGTATCACAGCAGGTCTCATCTTGCTTACTGAAGTAATGCTATTGTGTGTGAATATAGTCCCTCAATTTTAAAAATGGAAAGGAAATGGTGATGTAACTGGGGGGCAGAGATGACTAGGGAAATCAGATTTCAAGGTGGGGAGCGTAAAATACAGTGTAGTTATGAGGAGGCTGTTGTTCTCAGCAGATTTGGAGATGTATTTGCATATCTAGATTTATACTATGTCAATGATCATTTGCTTTGGAAGACCAGTTATCTCAGTGCAAGTCCTTGAATCTTAACCTGTGTACTGGTTGTGGATGTGCTAGAGTTAATTTTCTTCATAACAGCTCCTGTGGTGATGTGTTTTCTGGTTTTGTGGTGAAAATAGTGGTGATGACTCAGGCATCTTTTTGTTTTTGTTGAGCAGTGCTTACATGCAGTCAAGGTCTTTTCTGCTCCTCACCCCACCCCACCAGCAAGGAGGCTGGGAGTGCACAAGGAACTGGGAGGGGACACAGCTGGGACACTCACCCCAGCTGGCCCAAGGCGTATCCCACACCATGTGGTGTCATACTCAGCCTACAGAGCTGGGAGAAGGAGGACGTGGGGCACGTTTGTCTTCCCAAGTCAGCCTTGTATGTGATGATGTTTCCTGAGGATGACTGAACACTGCCTGCTATGGGAAGTGATGAATGAATTCCATGCTTTGCTTGTATGCATGACTTTTGCTTTACCTATTAAACCATCTTTATGTCAACCCATGAATGGTCTCAATCCTATCTTTCTGGTTCTTTCCCCCATTCCATGTGAGGGAAAGTGAGCAAGCAGCTGGGTTGCATGACATTTAGTAATGGCTGTACTGTAGTTTATTGAAATGCTGTAGTGTTAGTAGCAGCACCTGGGGAAAGGATTCAGGATAAACCTCTTGGATAACTTACTTAAGAGTCAGAGATCTGCAAAAGGCAGTTAACTTTGTATCATTATGCTGCTTATTTCCATCTACTTTCTTTAGCAGAGGAGAGGAATTGTGGATTTTTGTCTTTCTGGCTGTAGACTGTCCTAGCAAGGGAACCTCACGAAAATGCACAGTCACTTGTTCATGTCTGTCCATTTGGAAACTAATCATTGCCCATAGCAAAGCATTCTCTCAAGTAGTTAAGCATTTACATGAGAAAGCATATTTGCCAAGGTACACTGGAGGTATGGTTTGTGGTGGTTCAAGGATGAAGGGTTTTTTTCAGTTGAGAAGTAATTTATTGACAAGTTATGTGACAATAAAATGTTTTTCTGCTAAGCTGCAGTGGGATGCATTCTTCTTAAAACAATTTAAGTTCTTTTCTCTTGGCAGAATTATTTTATTATGAATCTGCAGCAGGTTGCTTGTGTAGTGTCCACAGAATGTATATTAAATCTGAGGTTGCAGTTTAGATAACATTTTTTTCTAATGTCTTTTTTCCCACCCCCACATACTTCCATATCCCCTTGACCGCATAGAATTTGTGAAACTAGAGATGTTGCTTTGCAATAGGTAGAAATTTTTAGTAATACATAATACTTTAATATGTCTTTTTAAGTTATTGAAGTGTACATGTATATATAAAAAGGTAATGGTTTTGTTAATGAGTAGATTATTTGCATATATTTCTTTAATCAAATGATACTTGCATTTGACTAACTTGTAGCAGATTGTCAGTGTCGTCAGAAATGGGCCCATAAGAAGAAGAGGCGTGTAAGAATACTGATAATTCTGTAGAAATAACTGGTTACCATGTGTTTCTGCTGCTGTCTACTTCTGGTTTTTCTGTGTGATTAAATAGTTGTAGCTTACTGATTTTAATGAGTAATTCAATTGCGGTGCCTCTGTGCCAGAAGAGACCTGCATTTTAAGCAGCCTTATGACACTCGCATAGAAAGATTCTTGTTTTAAAAATTAATGTGTGTTTACTTTGTAAATGTACTGTTAATTTATTGCCAAATTGTAGTCAAATAGAAGGCTTTAAATGTAACCTTGCAAGTGAATTCTGGTGTTTTGAAGCTGTTTTTTTGATTCAAGTTTTGACCTTAAATATATTTATTTTCAGTTTCACCTGTGAGAGTTAGAGACTACTCAAAACAGCCTTCCATGGAACATGAGGGAAACTGTGTCATATCAATTAGTTGTTGGGGTTTCTGAAGTGTTAAAGTATTTTTAAAACACTTCAGCATTTCTTCCTATTAAAAAAGAATTTTCTTACCCTGCAGTGTTCTTGGCGAAATTACTGAAACGACTCTATGGTGAAACTTCATCATCTTCTCTTGTTCAGACTTCAAGTAGAGAAGAGGAGGTGGTTCTTGAAAATCTTGGCTCAAAATCTAAAGAAAAGAATTTGGATAATGTTCAGATTTCATCAGCAGATGCTAGCACATCAGCTAATACACCCTGCAAATCATTTCAAGGTGAGACTGTGTTGTCATTTTTTTGATAATATCCTTTTAAATATAGCTGCTTTATTTCAGAACAGTATAGTATGTCCTTTTTTTCATATATTGATACCAACAGATGAATTTGAGTACTAGGGCTAGTGGTATTTAATACCTGGAACACTTGAGGTCCTATGAAAGTCAAGAAATAGTCTTGGTGTACATGCTTGGATGCAGCATTTAGCAGTAGCAAATATGAAAGTTCAGTGTAAGCTGTAACTGTCTTTGATATAATGTCTCTTAAATAGTGATAAAATGACTTCTACTGGTATAGCTCTGCTCAGCTGTTAGAGGTGCAGATGAAGATAGGTGGGAATACATGATCCTGCCCTTATGCTGCAACAGAAACCCCCTGGGGAACACAGATCCATCAGAAGGCAAATATTCATTCAGACTATATTAGTCCCTTGGAAAAGATCATTATGATGTGTGTGTTTATGCAATGAACATGGCACATGAATATTTGAACAGGTAAGTAAAAGTCCCTATTTGAAAAAGAAAGCTGTAGAATGTGAATGGTATGCCAAAAGATGGTGCTGGAAATTGAGGTAGCTGTGGTATTATTTGTGGGTAAAAGACTGTGTGCACAAGTATAGAATGAATGTGAATTGCTTTGTATTTATCTAAAGCTAGATTTTGCCATAACTATAAGGCTGTTAAACTGGCTTGAAATAGGAGGGTATGTTTCACAAGAGTATAAAAAGCTTTCTCGGGGGGAGATGGTCAGCTATCCTTACTTGCTCACAGGGAAGAACTGGTTGTAGATGTGGTCTGGGGCAGGAGAGTAATGTCCAGAAAGAAGTGAGCAGAATGAGTAGGGTTAGAAAATAATCTGTGTGCTACATAATAACAGATGTTTGCTTGGTAGGATTAATGAGAGGATTAGTGTGAATTGCAAACGAGCTCTGAAGAGCTGGTTTAAGAATAACCTCTCAAAGCACAAGAATGGCTTATTTTGACACGCAGAAAACTAAGCAAATGTGGCAGGATGCCTGACTGAGCTCAGATGTGTCTGGGAGAGCAGCAAGGGGAAGGTGAAGGAAGGCTAGCTGGGACAAAGTAGGCACAGGAGCTGTGTCATCACTGTGGAAGCAGTCCCACAGTTCCTGGCAAAGAGCAGCAGAAGGTCTGTTCACAGTAACCAGGTTCAACCAACAGTCCAGTGACACCAGGCAAGTTAATAGTGACAAGGCAGGTCTGAAGTCAAGCCAGTATGCCAAGTCTATGTGTCAGTGTGTGCATCAATTGATCTGAAATATCCTTCTGGTCAGTTTGGGTCACCTGTCCCAGCTGTGTCTCCTTCCACTCACTCCCAACTTCCTCACCAGCATGGCAGTATAAAAACGAGGAAAGGCCTTGGCTCTGTGCAAGCCCTGCTCCGCACTAACAAAAACATCTCTGCATTATCAACCTTGTGTTCAGCACAAATCCAGAACACAGCCCTGTACCAGCCATTGGGAAGAAAATTACCTCAACCGAAACCAGCACACCATCACTGTAATACAAGGTTGCATAGAAGTTCCAACTACTGTAGTTCTCTATGTTTTATACTCAATTTGGTTTTCAATATTAGTACTTCTGGTGCTTCTTTTGTGTAGTCAGTAACGAAAAGCATATTTTCAAAAGGTTGATAAAGCATTAAACTTTTTCTGCACAATGATATGTGATAGCATTGGTAGCTAATGGTCCTTTCAAAATAAGTAGCAGGCTATTTATTTGCTCTATGATAAAGGTGTCCTAATTATACCCAACTATAGAGTAATTTCTTAAGCTAAAACTCTTTGTTTGTGGTGAATCTGTACAATCCCTTATAAATTAGGGCAAAACTCCCACTGAAATGGGAGGTGAGGGCGAGAATTTATTTTACTTTGTGATTTATAACGCTTCTAATTTGTATATACCTGATTCCTATTGCAATATTCTTCAAGGTAATGAAAGAATTTTTATTCAGAATCCTAATACAGGGAAAATATAGCTTATGGGATAGGAAACATGGAGTAAAAAGAACAGGTTTATATTTAGGATTTTCACAGCAGAACAACAAGGCTGTTTTTGAAATTAACAGCAAACTATAACTGTGTTATCTGTTGGAGTCATGCAAATGCCACAGTAGTACAGAAAGGGTTCTGCCTTGTTTCAAGTTCAACATATAAGTACTTTAAAAAGCCTTAAAGTGATAAACTCATAAGAAAAAAAGACAAAATAATTACCCATCTGGAAAACCAACACACAACCATTCTTTTCTGGTTGTGATTTTATTTAAATTGACAGAACTCTGGCACTTACATGTGGTGATTTTATAGCATTGGACACTGAAAGTACGTGTTTAGAGATAGGTAGAAGGTTTAAGCTATAAACTCTGTGGCCTTGGTGAAAGAAAAACATAAAAGCATTGATTTAATTTTTTGATCATAAACTGTTTTAAGTGACTTCTTACTTACAGACCAAAGATTGTGGGCATAACTACAAGGCAGCTGATGATTTAAGTAGCAAAGATGACTAATTAGAAGAAACAGTGGAAAATAAGGGATTTGGTTTTTTGTAGATACATTTTCAAACAAGGAAAGAGTATTATTTCAGTTCTACAAAATGCTACTAAAAATTATCTATTGTCAATAAAAAGTTGAGGATTTCTTTTAAAATAAACTGACTTAGTCTTAAGTATTTTCTAGCATTAAATAACAGATTTTACTGTAAAACTCATCACAATGACCTTATTTGCCTTTAACAATTACTCTCAGATTGTGAAAACACCATAACCAATTTGTCTGGGCTAAACTGCCACCAACCTTCCACCTTTGAGATTCTGATCTTTATTGGAATGCAGTTTGCAGCATTGCCCTGAAATTTTATGGCCATGTCTCTATTGTCCTTCCAGATGCAGGCTTTTAAGACCATACTTTTATAGCCTGTAAATATTTGCATTTACATGCCTTTTTTGAGACCTGAAGTTCAGATGCTAGAGAAAATGGAACATCAGGACCTATGTTAATGATTGTTTCTCATTTAATTTTGGATAATTAACAATTTGGTATCAGGACAGGTTATCCCATGAAGCTCCTCACATAGTTCTGGAGCCAAAGCTTACAATAAGACCCAGAATAACTGGAGGTGGAAGGCAACTTCTGAGGGACACTGTCCTTTGTAACTGTAGAAAGGCCTTTTGAATGGTATTTTTGTTTTCTTCAGGAAGGTGATAGTTCTGTTAGGCATGGAGAAAACATGCGGAGGTGTCATGCTTCTTCTGGACTCCAAAGAAGAAGAATAGTTATATTTTTCTACTTGAAAAGAAATTTTTTTGATTTTTTTTAAAAACCAACCAAAACAAAAACCACACACATTAAAAAAAAAACCAAACAAACAAAACCAAACCCTGCAAACTCCCCCCTCCAAAATAAACCAGCCAACCAAAAAGCCTACCAACCAAACAAATGGCAAACCCAAAACAAAACAAAGCAAAGCACTTGCCTGTGCGCAGAACTTTAGTTCTAGGGCATAGACAGTACGTTATACCTTCCCTTTGGATTATAGTTGTCCTAAATCAGACTTCTTTTCACTTTTGTACCAAAATACTTAATAAGAAAATAAACGTAACCAAAGTAGGTAATCCTATCCCCCAGAACAATAAGAAAATACTTTCTAAATATTGATCCTCTTGAGGAACTTGATTAATCCATTGTAAGAGCTATAATTTCTCTTGTAATCTTGTAAAAGTTGTAATAAAAGATTTTTTCCTACTTCAGCATAAAATTAAAGAGGATCTAGATTACCATCTTTATTACCTTAAACCATTTTAAAGTTCCACACAGGTAATGAACCTGATTCTTGTGGAAGGCAAAGCATTGAAAGAGAGCAAATGGAGAGTTGAAAGCTCCTAAAATAAGACAAATTTTCCGTAAACGAAGGATATTTTGTGAATATGCTGTTTTAAAAATGCTTTAAAACTTGCTGTATCACAAAAAAATGTATCTGGCAAAAGACTGAGCATTTCAAAATACAAATTGCTCATGAGATTATGGGCTTTGGCTAAATTCTGTCCCGAGAATTAGTTTTGTTAGTTTTTGACTTTTGTCAGGGCCAGATCTGCTTGCAACAAGGATTAATGTCATGAAAAACATTTCTCGTGGGGTCTGCAGTTCTGTGATTTCTTTATTTTTGTTGTTGATATTTTAAAACATCAGTAATTGTTTCTAATATCTGTAATATATATTCAAAAGTAACATGCATGGTTCTAACTAGAGATTTGCTAATTGTAGAATTGGCTTTTTCACAGAATTACAGAATGGGTCGGGTTGGAAGGGAACACAGTGGGTCATCTGGTCCAACCTCCCTGCTCAAGCAGGGTCATCCTAGAGCACGTGGCACATGATTTCACAGCCTCTCTGGGCAATCTGTCCCAGTGCTCAGTCACCCACACAGTAAAGAAGTTCTTCCTCGTGTTCAGGTGGAACTTCCTGTGCATCAGATTCTGCCCATTGCCTCTTGTCCTATTGCTTGGCACAGCCCAGAAGAGCCTGGAAATGTTCTCTTGACACCCCATGCTTTAGATAATTACACACATTGTTGAGGTCCCCTCTCAGTCATCTTTTCTTGAGCCTGAACAGACCCAGCTCCCCCAGCCTTTCCTAGTATGAGGAAATGGCCTCCTTAGTCTCTGACCTTTTTCTTGGTCAGAATTATAACTACTTTTTATAAGACTTGGAATTTACTGATCGGTATTTAGCATCTTCCTTCTAAAAATGAAAATTTCAGAGTTGCTGAAGGATGATAATTGCATTCAAGTTTAATATAAGTCAGTATAAATTGTACTGTGCCACTTTTGATTTTTGCTTTTTCCCTAATTCTGAAAAAGGAATTTGAAATACAGAGAGCCTAGCCAGAGTTTTGGATCTTGTGGAGATAACTCAAACATTCCTTCTCCTTAATTTATTTCAGTAAGAAATAGTGAGGAATGTTACTAAGCTATTGCTAATAAT